TTTTCTCTCTCTTTCTAAAAAAGGATTTGAGAAGGTTAACCACAGGATACTTCTCCACATGGGACAAAAACAAGTCAAATTTATTGGTTAAAGGGAGATTACCAAAAGATGATAACATAATATTAGTTTATTGCTCAAAAAATGTCATTTGCTCCCTGTTGGCTACTGACTAGAGTCAAAAATGCTTCCAGGATAACATTCAAGGACCCAGAGTCTGTCTCCAAGTCTGTCAGCTTGGCAGAAATCACAGGGAATCTTGGAAGTCTGGGTGTTGATTCTACCACTGGTCAATTGCATGAGATGTGTCAATATACTTAGTCTTTCCACATCTAGGAAATAGAGCATTAAGTTTCTTTGAGGGGTACAGTTCAAGTTTCTGGGAAGGATATGGTCCAATCAGGTGCTTTCTGATAGTGACCTCAACTCCAAAGCATTATCCTGATCATCTAGCTTCCATCACTCTTGTGATTGATCCGCGATCTCTTTATTTGTGCCTGTCCAGATTATCAGAAAGGACTGACTTCCCTTCCTTGGGAAGGGAAGCACCTAGCATCCAGCATGCTTCCTGGCATGCCCTAAAATGTGTGGACTCTGCCGCTACCCCCTTCCTCATTCTTGGGTTTTCCCACTGTTCTCTCCAAATTCTGCTTTCTCTTCATTTAGTGTCTACCCTTTCCAATATGCTAGAGTCCGACTAGGAATTTCAATCAAGAAGAAAGGCAACTATATGCTGGGTGCAGACTCATACTCAGCACAGTGTCGTCCCGGTTGAGCTCGAGCCCCCACATTTGGGATTTGGGTGGTGGCATTTTGAAATCCGTGGGCATCTAAGGGATGCCATTTGCTGGGTAGAGGTTTGAGTGTCTGAACTCATTCAATGACTCCCCAAAATGTATGTTACAACAAAGTTGCTCAAATGAAAATGCTCTGATTTAGGCTGGCCTTTAGCATTAGGAAAGCAGAAGACTTTTTGTAAGCATAGCCTAGAGCAGAAAGAACATACATAAGAGAGTGTGTGTGTATATAAATATGTTGGGAAAATGGTAAGCACTAGACAACTTTCTTAGTAGTCTCCTGGGTTTAGGATGAGTGTGTGTGTGTATGTTTTATGTGACTTCAGAGTTGCTAATTCCTAACCTCAGACTTTTCCCATTTTCAAACTTAAGTGGAATAACACATTAGAGACAAATGAAAAATGCTCCAATTTTCTATTATTTCTATTTACTACACACCTGTTTTCACTGCCCGCTTGTTTGGCCCAAGTTCTGTCACGCTGGGTTTAACCAAGAGCAGACTAGGAATGAAATAAGTTGGTCCATCATTTTCAGGAAAAAGTTGCCCAGTTAGAATCGATTGAATCAACCTGGGGATTAGTGACTACTTTGCGTCTGAGGCAAGATCACTGTTGTTTTGTGCCTATGGCCAGCTGGGATCTAGAATATTAGACTTCGAAGAGAACTCTAAACGTGGGCCCACAATTGCTTCCAACATTCGTTGTATGTGTGGTGTTTCCACCAACCTCAGACAGAACAGTGACAGAGAAGAGTCGTTTCTGAGAATACCTGGAGGCCACGGTGTCACTCTACAGGAGCAGAACTGCAGTCCAGGAAAGGAGGCTTCGGCCAAGACGACGGAAGGACAGGTAGGAGCCAGACACTCTTGTAGGTGCTCAGGGTGCATTGTATCATTTGGTTCTCACAGTACCCTGGGTATTTGCTGTGGGAGGATTTAAAAAGTTTTTACAGAATATGTGGAGTCGAGAAAACAAAATAAATGAACCAAGAAAATTGAGACAGACTCAAAGGCACAGAGAGGATTGATGGTTGTCAGAGGGGGAGGGGCTTGGGGGACTGGGAAAAAGCGGTGAAGGGATTAAGGAGAATGCACAGGTTGTTACAAAATAGTCATAGGGATGTAAAGTACAGCATCTAGGGAACATTGTCAATGATATTTTGATGACTGTGTGGTGTAGGTGGGTAGTAGAAATATCAGGGGGAACACTTTGTAAAGTATATGATTGCCTAACCACTAAGCTGTACATCCGAAACTAAGGAAAATAATAAAGTAAACTGTGATTGAAAGTTTTTTTTATTTAAAGCATAGAGAAGAACTTAATAGCCTGTTAAAGAAAATGATAAAAAATAACAAATAGGATAACATTTGGTAATGTTTCAAAACAACAGTGTTTACTTACTTCACAAAAACATTGCATAACCAAACATCAATTAAGAAGTTACATCATACACAATTTATATTCCTTGTTACAAGCTGTAAAACATCTGTACTGCAAAATACTATCATGAACTTTTTTCTCTTTTTCAATGAAAGTAGAAACATATTTGTAAACAAAGAAAAAGTTTTTACACAAAAAGCTTTAAGAAGACTAAGCCCTCAACGGTGATTAAATAAGTGATTTCTGTTGTTACGATGTTGACTTCGGAGCGGTATTTTTTCAAGGATAACTTTAGGATGATGGAAGCAGCAGGGGAAGTCCAAAGCATCAATGATTACAATACTCAGAGAAGAAAATTCCATGTTTTGGATAATGCACCAAAATGGCAATCCTCTACATACTGACTCTTTGAATAACAGGTTAGTGGAGACTGAGGAAAGAACGCATTTCTTATCTATTCAAAGGCGTCTTCGTGACACTTGACTCCAGCGAACCAGGATGCTGAGAAAGAGAGAGAGAGATTAGACAAAACATCAGAAAACTGCGACTTACAACTTCAGGGGAGAAAACGTTTCAGAACACCCAGCAATTAACGATGAAAGAACACTTTCTGTGAAGCTTGTTGGGGCTGGAACAGGAGCCTTCAGAAGGCACTTGATGTGTTTTCCTTTATAAGGAAAAGGAGATGAGAGAACCTAATGCCACCGGCATCAGCTGGGGTCAGAGCAGTCAGCAGTCATCGTGCTGTGGAAACAGAATGTGAGTGCATTACTAAGTGTCCATCAATGCTAATACAGTTAAGCGACTGTGGCGATGAAGGACAAATGTGTAAGGATAGGAAAGTCTATGTGTTACCTGTTTCCTGTATTTAAATAAATCACCCTAAAACATCCAGAGATTATCCAACATGAAATAAATATTTTTAGGTTTATTGGACACATCAATTGATTCCTTCAAGCGTGAGGTGATTGAAATAGAGTTTTTCCACTAAAAAAATGGCCTGAAATTCTCATAGCATCTTATTTATCTTATTTACATTTTGTACCCTTTTCTCTGCCCTCTCTTTCATTTCTTCATGTATTCAAGCAAACATGAAACATGTATACTTATTTAAGGCAGCATTGCAGCTGTGTGTGAGAAAATACAGCTATTCATCTGTATTTTCTTATGGGAGACACATACCTACCAAAGTTATAGGTAATTTAGTTCTTCAAGAATTAATTCATAAGGATACCAGAAGGATTCTTCAGTCCAGGACTTTATGAAGACAATGAGAGGATCTCTGAGAAATGGTTGAAGTCTTACACACTTATTCACTCATATGCCGTGATTACTATGTGTCCTAGGTGGTCATTGTGATAAACTCAGGCAATATAAAAGGATGATAAGGCATCTTTCGTGCCTTCCGGAGGGTCCCGATTAGCAAAGCAAAGCTGGAACAAGAACCTAGAATTTCTGAGGATGAATTCAGGGCTATTTATAACTGTAATAACTTCAATGAAATATTTGTTTTAAAAAACCTTTTAGGGAAACTGCTGGCACCCTCATTCAGAATTATTGCTTAACTGTTTCAATACCAGGACAGCCTGAGCATTTGGAAACATCCTTCTTGACCAGAATGCACATGTTCGGTAGATGAGGGATCTCCCTGGAGTCCATCCAACATGACTGCTTTATGACCAATGCTGTATATAGAGAGCATTATATAAAAGCAAATAGGCCAGCAACCAAAAATAATTAAAACAATCAAAGTATTTAGTGTAGTGTGTCTCAAAAAAGGCAGTGGAAACGAAGTGGCAAGAGGGCTCGCTGTACTCCTGGAAGCCGGCAAAACTCCTTTTAAAAACTCCCTTTCTACTTATCACTTCCTTGCAATTTCCCGTTCACCTTCATACTTGTCTCAAATCACCTATTTCCCCACTACCTGCCCCTCAGAAACATCCCTTCATCCCTTCTCCCCACTTTAAAACAGCCATTATCTCCGTCCCACCTTTGATCTGTGGCTCAGGGCTTTTGCTTTGTTTGTAGGATCCTTTGTGTCTTGTTTTGATTTTTATGTAAACAAAGGAGAATCTAGCATTGACCTAGCAAGTCTCTCTCCTTTGGGAGATGTGAGAGAGAAAGGGAGGGAGGGAGAGAGAGACGATGTAAATGTTTATGATTTAATGCCTTTCCTTTTATCCTCTTCACACTTGGATTTTTAAAACTGGAGTTAATGTTGCATGTCCTAGCTTCAGGATGGTGCTAAAAGGCCCAATCTGCTTTTTCACTCACCTGAGAAATTGCTGCTATGCGGCTATGAGACCATACCCATCGGGCCTGGCTCTACAACAGATTCATTGGGAGTTTAACAACCTTAGCGGCGGCAGAAATATCCCCAGTAAATCCAAGTTTACGGATCTCACAGTATGGATTTCATGAGTGACTGTGCTGGGACAGGGTGGGCCGGTGACAGGGGGCTTCACTTCCTCCCTTCCCCCTCCCCTCCCCTCCCCTCCCCTCCCTTCCCCTCCCCTCCCCTCCCCCTCCCCTCCCCTCCCCTCCCCTCCCCTTCCCCTCCCCTCCCCTCCCCTCCCCTCCCCTTCCCCTCCCCCTCCCCTCCCCTTCCCCTCCCCCTCCCCCCCCTTCCCCTTCCCCCCCCCCCTCCCCCCCCCCCCTCCCCCTCCCCTCCCCTTCCCCCCCCCTCCCCTCCCCTCCCCTCCCCCTCCCCCTCCCCCTCCCCTTCCCCTCCCCCTCCCTTCCCCTCCCCCTCCCTTCCCCTCCCCCTCCCTTCCCTTCCCCCTCCTCCTCTTTCCCTCCCCCTTCCCCCTCTTTCCCTTCCCCTCAGATGGCCACACACTGAGTCTATACCAAAGGGGCTGTGGAAGGTGAGAGTTTGAGATGAAGGCTTTAGAATGATCTAGACTAAAAATAGACTGTTTTAATCATTGGAATGCTTAAAATGGCTGCTAACCAGCGAGAAAGGAAGATTCAACAGAGCAGTTAACAGTGTCAGTGAGAAGAAAACATTTCATGTTTTTGTACATCACCGGGGTTGAACCTGCACCTTCCGCTGACTGCACTGCTGACTCTGGTGGGCGCGCCCACGTGCTTGGCAGGGCAAAACCCCTCCTGTTTTTCTTTCTTCTTCCAGCTGAAATTTATAATAACTTTTCAAGTTCCAAAACCAAAAAGTCAATTTCCTTGAGTGGAAATGCTGTGAATTCATAGGTTATTCGAGCATTTGGCATTTTTACAACGTTAACTCTTTCCACCCAAAAATCTGTCAGTTCTTTCGCTTTATTCAAATCTCTTTATATATCTGTAGAATTTATTTCTGTTTCAGCTACATTCTGCATGTCTGAAGATTCATTTATTCACTCATTAAATATTTATTGCACATTAATGATGTGCTAAGCGCTGTTTTAGGTATTGAGGATATAGAAATGAAGAAACCAGACATAATCTGTGTCCTTGTGGAGTTTAAATCCTAGTGAAAAAGACAGAGAATGAAAAAAAAAAAGAGCTGTTTTTAATGATCACACCTTGGAATTTTATATACCTTTGCACTGAAAAATCTGTGTGTACATTTTGGATAGAACATCAGCAATTAAATTCCTATATAGATTATGAACAGGTACAGAGTTCGATTGATTTCTGAAAAGGTCTGAGACATATTAATATATTCTTGGAGAAGTGATCAGTTTTGACTAGATGACATTCAATGCCATCTTCGCGACTTGTTAGCTTTTTATTCAACTGTGCTGATCTTGATTTCCTCACCTATAAAATCCTGTGGTTCTAATCATCCCAATTTAGTAGTTAGCATAGGATTTTATCAGATACCACTTACAGTCCCACTGAAGCCCTTGAGAAATAATAATAAAAATGAATAATTATAACAGCAACCAGTATTTGCAAGTGTTTCCCACATTCCTTGCATAGTGCTAAGGCCTTTGTACTGGTGACCCACTTAATCCTCACACAAAAACCAGAAAATATGGTTGTATCCTGGGGTGGTAGCCAAAATATCTACCAGCTTGGGCACAGGTCAATCAGAAATGAAAATTGTTGAAACAGTTGTGAGCATAGGTATCCATTGTGTCACACCCATTTTACAGATGGGGATGTTGCGGCACAGGACCTTCCAAAAGCTGCCTAAGAACACAAGGCCTATAGGTGGCAGAGATGAGTTTAAATAGTCCGAGTTCAGAGACTATAAAATGAAAGAATTTTTTCTGCACTACCTCCCAATCTCAAGACGCAGCGAGGGGTCCTTCAACCTTTCATTTATTTCCTTGGGAAGCCCTGAGCCTCCCTGACTTGTCAGTATACCTGTGACCCACCAGGCCAAGCCGTCACAGCTGTTCCCTTACTTACAGCAACCACGTCTTCCACCAAACACGATTGTCAAGGTTTATTGGACTGAGAGCTAATGTTGTGAGTCACTCTGAGCCAAAGTGATTATTGTAACTGTAAGAGATAATAGCAGTTATTAAGAGTGATTTTGGTAAAAGCAAGCTAAAAATTGAGTTTATTTAAATAGTTCAATTAAGAGCAACATGAGAACCCGGGTGTGGAAGGAAGGTCTGCGATAGAGTGAAGGTGACATTAATGGCAAAGAAACCCTCACTAATGAAATGACATAAAATGCCACAACCTTGTCAGGTCCACTTCACACAGGCTCTTTGACAACAGGAGAACTAACAGGGAAGGTTGTTTCCAGAGGCAAAATAAATCATTATGATCGAGACACTGGGGGAGTCTAGAGACTGAGGCAAGTGTCTTTGCTTTTGCCTGCAAGCAACATGAAAATGGAATTTCTCGGGAGGAATTTCTACAGGCCCTTCCAGACTCATGCCAACTATGAGCCTGTGAAGCAGAACTGTGGTGTGTCTGTGTATAGTATGGTGTGTGTCTGTGTGTGTCTGCATGTGTATCTGTGGGTAGTTTGTGGTAGTAAGGAAAAAGATTTGATTTACCTGTTAAACTTCTCAAACACACATATGTATATACCTGCATCTCCTAAGTCCCTCATGGAAGAATGCGGACACAGGACAACAGCATCTGTGAAGCCTTCCCTGGCAAACCCCAGTGTGTATCTAAACACTGACCCACCTCTTCCTTCTCTAAGCCCATGTACTTCCTGTCCTGTCTCTGCTTTGACATTTAATTGAGCCTCTGACCTCCCTCACTCAACATGTTAATTATCTCTTGCTCACGCCTTATCTCCCCCACCAATACATCGGAAAATTCAATCTGGTCTACAGCACCGGCCCTCTGACTGACGTCAGGACGCTAACGAGTGTTCTTTGTTCTTAGTCCAAGTTGATAACCCCAATCAATCTTAGATTGTGCTCATTCAAGCCAGTCAAGCACACTCTCGGATCATAATAAAGACATATCTGAGACACTCCAATACTATTCGTGGCAGTTATCCATTTACTCAATCCCTATTTTTATCATCCATCCAATAACTCAGGGGTCCCCAACCCCTGGGCAATGGACCTGTCCATGCCTGTTAGGACCCAGGTCACACAGCAGGAGGTGAGCTTGAATGTAAAGCACTTAAATCATCACAAAACCATGCCCCCCTCCCGGTCTGTGAAAAAATTGTCTTCCACAAAACCGGTCCCTGCTGCTCAAAAGGTTGGGGACTGCTGCTGAATAACTGATTCTTTAAAACATGTTGATTACCTACCTACAGTCGCTATCCAATAGGAAAGAGTTAGGAATTAAAGGAGAGTTTAATAAAAGTGTGGCCAGGGGTTGTGGAAACCAGCAAAGAACGGTACAATACTCTTGGGTTAAAAAGAGGAACCCTTGTCACTCATGGGTCTGGAGAGCCAAGGAGAGGGATTGGGACCTGGAACCCTGAAAGGGGACCTGTGGCCTTAAGTAGACAGACAGAGGCAACCACGGTAGATTGACTAGAAAGAGCCAAGGGAGAAGCATCCCAACCTCCCTTTCTCCCCTTTATTCTCTTGCTGCTTCCCACTAGCCAAACCTGAGTGGAAACCACAAGATAAGAAATCCTGCTGATGTCATCTATACAGGTCAGTTTCCATGATACAGAGTTAGGAAGTGCAGAGTGGACTTGGGGGTGGGCATAAACAAAGCCATCCGGCACAGCCAGCATGTGCCAAGATCTGTGATGTATGCTAAAAATACAAAGGCATGTGAGTCAACCTTATCTTCAAGCAGCTTGCAGTCCAGTGGGAGAGAATCAGGACCACATGGCCCATGTGATGAGAGAGGTAAGAGGTGGCTGCCAGGAAAACACAAGGGAGCCCATTTAGGGGTCAGACATTGGCATTAGAGACTGAGTAAGAGTTCATCAAGAAAGGGGGTTCATGAAGCAGGAAAGCATGGCTTTCCCGCTGAGAGGATATTATAAACGAAGGCCTTAATATGGTCTGTTTTATCCATAAAGGCTGGATTCCAGGCTTTATTTTATCAATAAAGGCACAAACCATGGGTGTTAGAGTGGTGCAATATGAAAAAAAGAGCTGTGTGTCAGTCACCAAAGCTCAATTTCAAACAATGCAAGTTATCTGCTTGTATTTCCTGAACTCACCAGGAGACCCTGCTGGACTCAACAGTGTCCAGAAATATTTCTCAATATGTTTCTTTTCTCATTTTTGGGACTCACACACTGCAGGTGCTCTCAAACCTATCCCAAATAAACAAATGAAAGCAAAGACAAGGAAAAGCAATTCCATCTCTATCAAATAGGGCTCATTTCATTACAAATGGCCCCAATTAACTCTTTCTCAAAGGAAACGAAATTAATTAGTTCATGTGATTAATACATTGGGCGTGGGGGTGTGATAAGTCCATGGGTTGATTGACATCCTCCTGACTTCTGCTCTGTGCCAGTTCCATTCTCGCATGGCCTCTGACCTTAGGACCGTGAGGATGAGATGGAGCTGTGGTTCCAGGCTTTAGCCTCCAGGTTTGGATCCCATCTGTAAGCCCCTCACAGACCCTGGGATTTCTCTGTTCCACCTGAATGAGCCACATGTTTCTCTCTGAATCACTGTAGGCAAGCAGATATGCTCCACCTCCTAAGTCAGGGGTTCAGTCCTCCCCGGATCACATAAAGTGGGAACCAGGGCCCTGACTGGGGCTGCTCAGTTAGTTGGACATTGTCCCACAAAGAGAAAGATCCCCGGTTCAGTTCCTGATCAGGGCACATACCTGGGTTGCAGGTTTCATCCCCGGTCAGGGTGCGTATGAAAAACACCCAATCCATGTTTCTCTTTCGCATCAATGTTTCTCTCCCTCTCTTCCCCCTTCCGTTCCCCCTCTCTAAAAATAAACAAATAAATAAAATTTTTAGTAGGAACCAGAGATGGTAGACCTGCAAAAAACTAATTTGCTCATATTTTTCTGAAGATATGAGAGGCAATTCAACCAACTCCACCACAACAACCAGCCTCTGCTGTCTGCTATTTACTCCAGATTTTATTTCCCATTAACTATCATTAAACCTAAGAGTTGGCTTGGAAAACCAGGACACTTCTGGTAGGGAGGTTTCTGGGGTGGACACGCTCTAATAACAGCTTTTTTCTGATCACGTGCATTATGTCATTTCACAATCACAGCCACACTCTGACACAGCCGCATTTCCCCAGGTGTACAGATGATGCAAGTACACTTTAGAGAGGGAAGAAAGAGGCCTGAGGTCTATGGGGTTACGAAGAGGGAGCTCCAAGGTTAGATTTCAAGTTCCAAAGAAGTGCTACTCCTGTGCTGCGACACTTGATGGAAAGTGCCCTTTCTTTCTCTCCCTCCGCCCTCGCAGTTCTGCCTCTTCACCTGCCTTGGCTCACAATAAACCACGACCTAATTTTTTTCTCCTGCTCTCTAAATGTAACAATAATGAATTGACTTCATTATACATTTATACATGCTTGTTTAAAAAATCAAAAATGCCCACCAATAAAAAAACTAATGAAATCATCTAAAACAACACCACCTAGAAATAGTAATAATTAAAATTAAATAGCACTCAAAACACCTCACTGTATAGATATAGCTATGAGAATAAAAACTGTATTACTATCTTATATTCTGTACACTTTTGAATATTTCTATTTTTGGATTACTTCGCATGCTATTTTAAATAAATTTCTACTTTGAGTTTTCTTTTAATTTAGCAAAAGAAATTACACTAACATTAAAGATGTTTCTAGGCTTTGGAGAAAGACCTATTATCTACCTGACTAGTCTTACCATTCCTGTTGTTCAATAGGATTTCATCAGTTGTTTTTGCTGAGAAAGGCTCTTGTTTGAGAACACCTTCTTGTTGCTTTGTATCTGATGTACTATCTGGCAATGTTTAATTTTCTTTTAGAATCATGCAGACTTAGTTCCATTGTTGTCTGGCACTAATTGGTGCCACAGAGAACTTGTAGGTAAATCTGATTTTCTCCCTTATAAACAATTTCCTCTTTATTCCCAGGTGCCTAGCAGGTCTGTCTCATCTGAGTCATTATTTTCTGGGAACATACACTGCTATTTTGTTCTGAATATTCAGTGTTTTTTTTATTCAAGTTTTCTATTTCAAGTATACAAATGATCCTGTGATTTTATGTCTTTTGCACCATATCTATTGTTGAGTTTTTAGGAATTTCTCCATCTTTATAGACAATCAGTATGATATCACAGTTTTCTTTTGCCACTAATTTCAACTTTCTGATATAGCTTATCTGTTTCTTTTTATTTGTAATTTATATATATTTTCTATAAAGATACTGTTTTATTGTCTATATCCTTTCTCATATAATTATCTTATTTAGTCATCTTGGAACTCTTATTTGTCGAAATACATCTATTCAGAGGACATGTTCTTCTTTTTTGAGTTATCATTTCTTTGAGAGTGGATTCATCTGCCTTTTTCTTGTACTCATTTCTTAGGTTCATACTTGAGCATGTGTTTAGCAATTGTTACTTTGCACTGAGGTCATGTTATTGTGTTAATACACGTGTTAAAATGTGTCGTGATCATCTCTGGCTTTCCACTAAACTCCTGAGTTGTTTGGAATCTCTTTGTCTTCTCAGACATGATCTGAGGTGAGGTTGTTTTTGGGGGGGGGGGGGGGTGAAGGCAATTCCCACAGGCTCTCTAGCTCCATCTTTGTTGGTGTGTTCTTTTCTTTTATGAAGTATTTTTTAAATTTCTTGTATCAGTATTTATATCCTATAGTTGGACATATATATCTCATTTCCATGAGTGGATACAGTTACATTTTGCTCATTCTCCCATTCAACAGGAATCTCTGAGAAAACTGAGTCCTAGGAACAGCGTGTGTGTGTGTGTGTGTGTGTGTGTGTGTAGATCTTGAAATCTTCGAAGATAAAGCAAATTTTTAATGCTAGGGATTTGAAACAAAACCTTTCCTTGGCCTGCCTATTAGTAACCTCATACTAAGGAGCATTAATGAGACTCTTCTTCTAAGCAGTAGGGTCGGGAGCAGGGCTGTTGAGGACATTCTGTGTTTCCTTTGGCAGCCACTTCTACTCTTTGTGGACTTCACATTATACCTAGTCTCTTACTGATTTGCTGCTGGTGGATTTTTTGCTGACACTGTTTTGGTGGTGGTGGTGGTGGTGGTGTTAGGTCATAGGAAGCCAAGGTTTACTCTGCCAGCTCACCTACAAGTTTTCAGAGCCAAATTTCATGCTCACCTGCTGCAGTCATCTTAGTTCTGATTCTTGGCAAAATTGTTTCCCTGCTTTGTCTACGGGGTGTTCAGTCTCTTTATATGTACCATCATAGTCACCATCACCACCGAGTTCCATGCGTGCCTTCAGTCAAACTGGCCTGAGATAACTTTTGGAAGCAGGAATGTAAGCCATATGTAACATAAGAGGAAAAACAGATTGAGCTTTCTTCAACTCCAGTTTGCACTTGAAGAACAGAGATCTAAAGAAATGAAGTGGAAGTTATATCCACACAGCTGCTTCTTTTCCAAGGAAGTTCAAGATTATGAATGAAGCCAGTTTGGTACTAAGGCCTAGTTTACCCTCAGATTATCTCTGTGGTCTTGGCCAAATCATTTAATTCTTATAAAAATCATTTTCTTATACTTGAACATGGAATCATAACTTGCCATGCAGTATTGTGAGGCTCAGAAATAATTTAGCATATTACCTGGCATATAATATTTAATAGTCAATAGTTATGATGGATATTATCTGTTACTTGTAGGCCAGGGTCCTTTCTCTCAGATAGTGTCAGGGTATAAGTTATTATTAAAATTTGTTTAAATCATTTTTCCTCCATGTTGAAGAAATTCTTATTTTCACCTTAAACAAGAAAAAAAGAGTGGTTAATACTTATCATTGCTGTTTTTCTCTACTACATGCAAATAAGTAAAGACTGATATGAATGAAGCATGCTTAGTGGAATGTTCGGTTTGATTTATTTGCTAATTAGTATCCATTAGACTTTGAAGGGACAGGTGAATGATGTGTTCATACAAATGTCTGAAGGTGACCAAGCCGGTTAGGTTTTCGAAAAAAGGGCTCCTGCCCAGCAAGCCAGACACTGGTGAGGTGTGTCCTATTTGTGAGAATGCACTGAGAACACAATACAGGGTGCACTTTGCATGATGTGGGGGTAAGACAGCCCAGTGCAGCACAAGGTAAAAGGGCAGAGGAGATGAATGGTTGGAAAACATTGTCAAACAGAGGAGAAAGCTGGCATTCTGTCTGCATCAGGGATCCACCAGCAGTTTAGCTCAGGTGTCTCCAGTGTCCTGTAATCAAGTGGATTTTTCCAACACTTTGCTTTCAAAAGGAATCCAGTGCAATACAACAAATGTCTCCTGAGTGCCCTCTACACCCCTGCCATTGGAAATAGAAGATTCCAGACAGAATCCCTGCTGTCAGGTAATACATAGTCTAGTGGAGATGGCAATATGTGTATGAAGTAATCAATTAATTGACTGATTGTAATAAATGTTATCATGGAAATAGCACCAAAAGGAATAAATGAATTCTAAGTGTGTTTAAACCACATGCTGATTAATAAAGAAAATTTTGACACTTGCAGGACAGGGAGTAAAGTCATAATTAATTAAATTAGTATGAGCTTCCTGGGTTTTCTAAGGGGTGAGAGGAGAAGGGGGCTGTTGAATATCAATACTAGAAAGCTGCAGACTTCAGGTTGCATTTGGAGACTTTCTTGGGATGCAATGAACCTGTTGTATACATCGAACTGAGCAAACCTTGTCCTTTTCTCCTTGCACTTCTGTTAAGGTGGGTCCCGTGGCTACAGGCTATCGGGCACCAAAGAAACAGATGTCCTTTGCGTGTCTGAAGCAGGGAACCCAGCCCATGATGCGCTTATGTTTTAAGAGGATAAGTGATAACTAAATTGGGATAGGGAACTAGCCCCCTGACAATATGGTACCTGCTTTCACTCAATGGGTATGACAGATCATAATTAAACAAATAGAAAAGATAAGAGCAGATTGGAATGGATGCTGTAAAGGAAATTACAGGGGTGGCAGAGAATTTGGAAAGGACTCTTTAGATAAGAGTGTTGAGATGAAAGGAATTTGAACCTCAAAGGGGAAGACATTCTGGACAGAGGGGAAAGTAAATATAAGAATTCTACTACTGAGTATCTATTTAAAATAACCAAGGCACCAATTCAAAAGAATATATGCATCTCTATGTTCACTGCAGCGTTATTTACAGTAACCAAGAAAGGGAAGCAACTCTACTGCCCATTAATAGATGAGCGGATACAAAAGCAGTGGTACACATATACAATGAAATATTACTTAGCCATGAAAAAGAAGAAACTCGTACTATTTGTGACGGATGAAACTAGACAGTATTATGCTAAGTAAAATAAGTCAGTCAGAGAAAGATAAATGCCATACGATTTTAGTTATTTGTAGAATCTAAAGAGCAAAATAAACAAACAAAATAGAAACTGACTCATAGATACAGAGAACAGACTGATGGTGCCAGATGGGAGGGGGATGAGGGTGTGGTGAAAAGGTGAAGGGATTAAGAAGTACAAATTGGCAGTTACAGAATAGTCACAGGAATGTAAAGTACAACACAAGGAATATAGTCAATAATAGTATAATAACCATGGATGGTGCCATGTGGGTACTTAAAATACCAGGGACCACTGCGTAAAGTATATGATTATCTAACTACTATGCTGTAAACCTGAAACTAATACAAAAGAATATTGAATGTAAACTATAATTGAAAAATTAAAAACAGTTCCGAGGTGACACAGTGTTGGCATGTTGAAGCAACAGAATGAAAACCAGTTTGGC